CAGTAGAATCAGACAGTCACGAAGTGCTGATTTCTTACCGGAGCCCAGCCCAAATGCTAAGGAAACTTTATTAGGTGCCCAGTTACTACCTAGGGCTTCTAGGAGGATTGCTGTAACCGTAAGCCTAAATCTCTTCCTTCCCCCAAACTTGATCTTTTAGGTGCTCCTTGTAAAACTAATTTGCCCACTTCAACCACTTTCAATTATACTATCTACTAATACAATGAACTGGAAGCCAAAAGACAGAGTGACTAGATATTCTGCTACTCCACAGGCAAAGCAATCTCACATAGATTTCAGCACCCTTGTGTTCTAAATGGATGCAGATGGCTTTGTTTTCTATGAATTCAGCATACAAATGCTTTAAAAATGTAACTCATAACTCAGCAAACTCAGTCTTAGATAGGTACTCAAGAGAGATGAGAAGGGGTTATATGGAAACCTCTTACTTTAGAAGTTTCTTAAAACACATATTTGAAAGAAATCTAAATGGAATCACCAAATAATGGGGGAGACAATGCCCCAACTGGACATCTTTTGCCGCCAAATGAAACTGCTGGTGCCAGGAATAGGTTACATTTAATTGCATTGTTGGCCTAAAGAGCTCCATGGAAACCATCCCCCCCACTCTCACCCCCCCACACAAAAAAAACCCCCTCAGGCTACTGAGGTTGTTCTCCACAAACTGATGGTAAGTACCTAATGCTGAAGACAACACTAACATACCTAATTGAAGACAGAGGAGTCATGCGGGTGCCTAATTAGAGCCTTCACCTATACTGACTAGCCTTTATGGTGTTGGAGAGCCCTCTTCATGCTACCAGAAGAGAAAGGTAAACACCAAGCCAGCTACAAACACTTCGCTCTACAATGGTGCCCTGTCTGTATTATATGCTGGTGCTGTAGTGGCACAGACACTGTGGGAGTAACCAACCACTATATAATTGGATTTAAGACCCAGTCCACGAAACAAAAACTTTGTCTGACACTACTCAGGTAGCCAAGAATTTGGAACAAGTCAGGACATAGACCTAGGGGAAAACAGTATAATGACCCCTAACAACATTCTACTATACCCATGTGTTTGGCCCTGACCCCTGTTCCTTGGGTAGCTGTTGCCTTGCTTGCTGATCTTGATCAGATGTCCTCCCTAAGCTAATTCCCTGCTGGTTTCCCTCCTCCAAAACAGCTTACCAGAGGTTCCTTGTTTTCGTATACTGCATATTGGTGCAATGCTAGAATGCAAAACATCTGTAGCGAACGTTTGCCCTCCCAGGTTCTTCCACTGTGCTGTGAGCCTGTACTTAAGGCCTCTTCCCTCCTTCAGTAAAGGGCATTCTACAATGACCTGCTGTCTTGTCTCTGTTTTAATCCTCAGCCCCTCGCTTGGACATGGTGAACGGGGTAGTAGCACCGGCGCTATGCCCATGATCAGTGTATTTGTTCAGGCATCATCAGAGAAGCTTCTACTTGCAGTAGGTGGAAACAAATACAAAGGCCCACAACTGGACAATGTACAAAGAGTAAGATACTCTGGAATACCCAATCCTAAGTGGAAAATCCTCATCAAAACCCTCCCCTCAGAGATCAGAGAGCTATATAGTAGAATATTATTATTATTATTATTATTTATTTTGGTTTTTCAAGGTGGGGTTTCTCTGTGTAGCTTTGCACCTTTCCTGGAACTTGTAGCCCAGGATGGCCTCGAACTCATAAAGATCCACCTTCCTCTGCCTCCCAAGTGCTGGGATTAAAGGTGTGCACCACCATCCAGCTAAAATATTATTTTAAGATGTGTTATTTTTGTTTATGCTGCATTTGTTTAACTCTGTGAAGCTGTGCTACTGTGCCTGTCTAAAATACCTGATGGTCTAATAAAGAACTGAATGGTCAATAGCAAGGCAGGAGAAAGGATAGGTAGGACTGGCAGGCAGAAAGAATACATAGAAGGAGAAATCTGGGAGGAGAGATCAAGGAATGAGAGAGAAATGAGGAGGACTCCAGGGACCAGCTACCCAGCTACCCAGCAGGCCATGGAGTAAGAGTAAGATTTATGGAAGTAAGAGAATAAGAAAGCTGAGAGGCCAAAGGTAGATGGGATAATTTAAGGAAAGCTGGCAAGAAACTAAGCCAAACTAAGGCTGGGCATTTATAGTTAAGTATAAGCCACCATGTGTGATTTACTTGGGAGCTGGGTGGTGGACCCCCCAAAAATACCAAAAGAATGAAAAACAAACAACAACAGAGCTATGCAGAAGAAGAGGCAGAAAGGTTGAGATAAGAGTCAGAGGGGATGGAAAGGAGCAGTGTCATCCAGGCATGAACTCACCGATGTTGTGGCAGCTTGCACAGGGCCTGCACAGGTTCAAGCCAGACGGGATCCAGGGCTAACAGGGGGATGTGGACATGATCTCCCATCCCTAACCAAGACGCTATCTCCAATTGACAAAGTGTAAAGGAGAAATTAGTTTTCTTTAATGGTGTCTCACTGGGTATATAAACCATACTTAAGGACAGCCCCCCCCCCATGCCCAGCAGTAAATGGCCAACACACACACACACACACATACACACACACACACACACACACACACACACACACACACACATACACACACACACACACACACAAACTCAATGGTGTTTTTAATTTTTGTTTCATATTGCTTTGTAAGGGCATCTTTTATCTTAGTGGTTTTTTGCCTGCATATTATGTTTTCGATTTTGTGTTTTTATGAGTTCTGTTTATATGTGTGTGCAGGTATTTCTTGTACTCTTTCATTGTTTTCTTTCCTCCCTCCCTCCCTCTGTCCCCTCCTTCCTTCCTTCCTTTCTTTATTTCTTCTCTATTTCTGTCTGTCTTTATTCTGGTTGGTTTGTTCGTTTATTTACCTGTTTGATTGAGAGGGGGGGGGTGGAGTTGGATGGTTGGGGAGATGGGGAGGATCTGGGGCAGATGAGGAAGGAACACTGTAATCAGCATATATTGTATGAATTTTCAATAAAAAATAAAGATAACAATAAAATGTGTCATATGTAAGTGTGCAGAGCAATTGTAATCATTTTGCCAGATCCAAATATCCATCAACTGGTGGATGGGCAACACATTTTGTACTAAGGATGTTGAGGTCATGTGGTACCCAACTGAAAGTATCTTAGGAGTAGTAAAGGGATTTGGGATAACTGGCCAAGATTACTACAGCTCTTAATAAATAAACAAATGTACAATTTCTATCAATTAAAAAAGCAGTGACGTCTAAGGCCTCAGAGAACATCAAACAGTGATTTCACTACTCTGTGTGGATTGACAAAGGGAAGACATGGCATACTCCAGGATTTTGATTCATGACATGGTCCACAAACTTTTGAATGGGGACAAATTTCCTTGGGAGTCTTCTGGATGCAAGAGCTGATTAAACTGTTAAGATTTGCACATTTTACCTCTTGAGTAGTTTTTAAAAAAATAATTTCAGGGCTGGGGAGATGGCCTAAAGACTGGAGTTCAATCCTTACAACCTGCCTAAAAGGTTGGATGTAATGGCAGGTGTCTGTTATCCTATCCCTCCTACATCTATAAGGGAGGTGCAAACAGGAGAGTCACCTGTGGAGGTTCTTGAACCAGCTAGGCTGGAATACCTTGCTCTATGGCGGAAGCAAGACCTTGCCTCAACAAAGTCGGCAAGCATGGGCTCCCCACAAGTTGGCCTCTGACCTCCATATGTGTGCTACGGAGCACATGCACCTGTGTGCACACACATTAATATGCATATTTAATGGAAAGATAATGTAGCGCTCTATCAAGATCTCAGGGTTTGCCAAGCATTGGGTGTTGCCAACTCCACTCCAGAGATAAGGTTTGAGGTCTTCTCAGCCAGTAGGTTCAGATCCTTCTTGGTGGTCTCCGGTTCTTAGTGTATGCATATGTGCCTCCGTGCGTGAGTGCGTGCGTGCCCTGCCGTGCGGGCGTGTATGTATCATGAGAGATTTGGGGAAGTCAGCTCTTCACGTCCTGTTACCTTTCTGGATGATGGCAGCTGGGAAGAACCAGCAGCTGCTAGCTTACCCTGGGCCAGCGAGAGTCCTTGCAGGCAGCGCCAGGCTCCACTCCGGATGCAGAGAAAATTGTCACTCTCAGCCAAAACAAACACTTTCCCATTTGGGAAGCCCACGGAGTGACAAGTAGCTTTTGATGTAGACATCACTGCCCCAGAGAGCTATTTGTTTGGAAGCAGGAGGAGGAGGAGGAGGAGGAGGAAGGCGCTTGTGTGCAGGGAACTGAGCTATATCCGTACTTCCGGCAACACGATCTTCAGGGCCCTGGGCTGAGGAGATTAATTTCCCTGGCACCTTCAAAGTCGATTCTTCCTGCCATAGCTCTGACATGGCTTTATGAGGCCCCGTGAAATGATTTGCTTGGGGTTTAGCTCATTTGGACAGACCTTCAGACCAGAAATGGGAGCGAAATCAGGCAGAGTCTGAACTCCCCCAGCCGCAGTGCTAGAGTACTGGGGTAGCTTCGTCAGATTCCTGAGTCCCAGGAGGCCAGAGAAATGATTCTGGAAAACCAAATTCCTGCTGTAAAAACAGAACAGTAGGAGGCATCTCCAAATGAAAGCACCGTGGGCCACTGCCAAGAAATAGAAGTCTATCTTTTAATGCAAATCCAAATTTGGGGAAACTCATGAATGGATTTTTTTTCCTTCTGGAATTGGGACAGTATTCCTTTATTACGAAAATATTTAAAGGGTTTGTCTCTGTGACTCTCAGCATAGAGTTGCGTATTCTGAGCCCACTTACTTTTAGTGGCAGGAGACTTGTTTTATTTAGGAGTTTTGGGACAGTCTTAGCAGAAACATGAGCACCCAATAGATTGGCATTGTGATAACACTAAGATTTCTAGAGAAAAACCTCATGACGCAAAGCAGGTTGCTTAGGCAACCCAAGGACTCTTGCTCCCTCTCTGTCCAGATCGCCTATTTGGTAGGCAGAAAAATTGGGGATTTTGAACCACATGGTCTCTCATCCGAGTTGGAGTTGAACACGGAGAAATCTGGCGGGCAGAAACACCTCAGGAGGTTGACTATGGCATCAGAGCAGTTTGAATGCAGGTTTGCTGCCAGGGGTGGAATATTGAAGCAGAGACTGGTCCAGCGGGCTGGTGGGAGCTGGGCCAGAGAGGTACCTCACCCATCTCACAAGGCTATACAAGGTCTTAGAACAAGAAGCTGGCATTGGGGCAAAGCATGGGCTCAGATGGAGGGGTTGGTCCAAGAGAGAATTTTCTTCTGTCAAGGTACCAGGAGGGATGTCGCCAATGCAATTGGGATCATGATTCTAATGAAAGTAGTGTGTGAACTGGACCTGGTAAGAGCATTTCTGTGTTCTCACTGCTTAGGAGCTGAGGCAAGAGACCATGAGTTCAAGGCCAGCCTCGGCTGTATAGCAAGACTTAGTCCCTCAAAAAGAAGCTTTCACTGATGCTGTTATCTCTCTATTCATCTCATGGCTACCTGCTTTAGAAAGACAGATATTATGTGCATGGCATGCCTAACAAAACATAAAATGATCATTTGGGCTTAATATTTTGTTGTTATTGTGAGGTAGGGTCCTTTTTTATGGTCTAGACTGTCTTTAAACTCATGGTAATCCTCCTGCCTCAACTTCCCAAATGCCGGATTACAGGTGTGGACCATCACGCCTGGCTGAATTTAATTTTTAATGTTGCTAATGGCATACGATGCTGTCACGCTTGCAGGGGAAGCTGCCCAAGACAAGAAAAATAAGTTACGGCCTTAGCATGAAGGGCGGAGGTTTGTGGGTCCTGGGGCGATAGCCCATCCCCATTTTTCAGAAACAAGGAGAATGGTATACTGTGGTGGAAAGGACACTCAGCTCTGGCTGGGCCCTGCCACTTTTCAGCCATAGGATTCTCTGGCAACTCATTTTCTCTGAGGATCATGTTCCTGCTGCCCTATAGGGATGCTGTCTGACCCTAGAGAGCTGTAGGAAGACAGCATGTGAAAGCATTCCACTGTGAACCTGGTATGGCGTGTGGGGAATCATTTGTTCATCAGTCATCATCTGTAAGCCAAGCAACCATCAGAGACGCCATAACGTATTTGTAATGGTTTGAATTGGAATGTCCTTCTCAGGCTCCCATTTTTGAGCTCTTGGTCCTCAATTGTCAGTACACATTCCAGGGCTGTGGGGTTTTAGGAGATGAAACCAGGCTGGCAGAAGTGAGTCACGAGTAGGGCTTTGAAGGTTATAGCTGATGCTGTTTCTGGACCTGGTTGATTCTGCAGCTATGGCAGGAGCTGCTGCAACCCTCATACTTTTCTTCCTTTCACGACAGACTGAAACTTCTATGAAACGGGGAGCCAAAAGAAATGTTTTCCCTCCTAAATTGTTTCTGTCAGGGTGACAAGAAAGTGGCATTTACTTAACACGTACTGTATACAATACAAGAGACTAGGGAGATGGGGAGGTTGTCTGGGACATGATGGCAAATGACTTACAGTCTACTTAGTGAAAAATAGTGTGCTTATGACGGAACCAAAGAATATAGTGATCCAGAAGTGAAATGAGTTCCGTGAGAGAAAGAAATGTTACTGTCTTGAGCCAAGATGACTTGAACTGAATGCTGAGGGAATACCGACACACTGAAGGGTCTCTACCCAGTAGACATTTAATAACACAAATAGTACATTGGTGCTTAGCTTAGCAGAGAGTGCAAGGCACCCTGGCCAGACTCTAGGTTTGAATACACCTTTTTTTTTTTTTTTTTTTTTTAAATCACATACACTTGTAAACATTAAGTTTCTGTTAAACTCTGGCTTACCTGTCCAGATTTCCCCATAAAGTGGAGAAATGTTGTAAGGAGGTAGAATAACATTTTAAATACCAAGACTCACTTAAGTCTTCTGGAATAGAGAAGGCAGGTAAACAAAGAGCCGATTATTACGTCATTCTTAATTTTCCAGTATTTATATCAGACACCACACTGTCACTGGTATTAATGAATAACTGTTTTGGCCCACAGACCACAGGGGCACTTGAGTGAAAGCTGGACAGACAACCCTAATGTCAGGCCAGTTTCTGGTCACCAAAGGGAGTGGTGTCCACTTACAGACACACAGACACCACACAGAGACCAGTTGTAGCATTCTTTCCCAGGGCTCCCCACATGCTCTCAGCAACATCACTCTCTTGGAATATTAAGTGTCTTTCTCTACCTCCTTTTTTTTTTTTTTTTTTTTTTTTTTTTTTTTTTTGCCCCTTCAGAGAATTGTCCACAAAAGAGAAATTCCAGACCTCACAGGGCCTGTTCCCTGGAATGTGATAATACCCCCCCAGCAGAGCAACACCCACCCCCAGGCCTGAGCCCCAGTATAAAGCTCCTTTGTAGGAACACTTAGGTGCTGGGTGTTGCTTAGAAATGGTTATCCTACCAAAAGGACACAAATGGCCTCCATCTCCACTGAACAATGCCCTTGGTTTTTGTCATTCCAACGCTGTCCCCAGTGGGCTATTATTTCCTTTTCAGAATTGAAACAAAAGAGACTGTGGGGTGATAAGCCAGAACCCAGCAGCTGGCCCAGGTCTTGGCTGCTATCAGATGTGTGATTCATAGCCCGGAGGAGCCTGCCAAGCCCAGCTGCAGGGGCTCGGTGAACAGGGGCGGGCTGAGAGGGCACTCAGCTCTGTGCCCTTTGCTGGGTGTGCTCTCTGAAGCTTGTCTCCGCAGGGAAGTGTTCCACTGGTTCACACCCAGCCGGCTTCATTCCCTTCCATGTTCAGTCAGGTGCTGGACACAGCCAGTGACTCACAGGCAGCGCCAGCCGAAACTAATCGCACCAGGCTTTCGGGGTCCAAGCTCCGTAAATGATTTCGGTGAGTGGAGTTCTTGTTGCTGCCTTCGGTTGAAGCTCTCTAAAGTCATGGAAAGAAATTAATCACAGTGGAGCCACCAAAATGCCAGGGCACAGGGTCATACAGCCTCCTTCTTCCTTAGGCACCGGTCTGGAAGCTCAAGCGCTTTCCCCTGAGAACTGGCCGCAGTCATCAGGTTGGGTTTGCTGCAAAAGATCAAAGCCATGTTTTTTGAAGTCGAGGTTCACACGCAAACACCAGCCATGTTGCTCCAGGCGCTAACATGGATGTCAGGATGAATTTTACCCTTGAACTTGGGAGTCTGCTGCCAACGCCAACTGTGGTTTAGGGTACACCGGAAGATTTCCGTATGGGAAGAAAACAATCTTTAATTTCCCGATGGAAGAGAATAGGTTGTTCTAAAGCCTAACCCAAGAGGCCAGACCAGACGAGATACTTAGATTTGCTGAGTTGGGATTGTCCAAGCCTGCGAAGGGTGGGAGGTGTGATGAGACTTATTCTGACAGAATGGAGAGATGGGGATGTTTGCTTTTTCAGGACTCTTCCTATTGAGGGACTGTGCACGGAGGAAAGCCAAATGCTCTTGCCTGCCTATTGTGCTAATTCAGTGTAAGAAAGAAGTACACAGCTATCCATCCAGGGCCTGTGAAAATCCAGCTCCTTGTATACACAAGTCCTTTATATAAAGCAGGATCGTATTTGCATACAGCCTGTGCAATCCTCCTTTACACCTTAAATAACATTAGCCTGCTTATGGTGCCTCACACTATGCTGTTACACAGTACTGTTTAGTGAATAATGACAAGGAAAATGTCTGCACGTTCAGTACAGGTGCAAGGTTTTTTTTATGAATATTCATAATCTCAGCACATACAGAAGCCACAGTTGTGGAGGGCTGGCTACTGGTGTCTGTGCAAATGAAACCCAGGGAGGATAAAGCATAGACTGGTCAGTCGGGCTACTATAGTGAGTGGCTAGGAACAGAAGGAAGAAGGGAGGAATTGAGAACGGGATGGAAGCATGGGGGAAAGATACTCCTCTCGGTTTACTGTCTGGAAAATCTTTAACTTTTCACTGCCATCTATTATTTAGTTAAACAAACAAGCAAAAACCCAGTGAGCTGAGGACGAAAGGGGAGAAAAATCCCATTACTCCCTTAGGAAAACACAGGCTTGTTTCTATCATCATGGTGGTACGAAGTGTCGGGGTTGGGGATTTAGCTCAGTGGTAGAGCGCTGGCCTAGCAAGCGCAAGGCCCTGGGTCTGGTCCTCAGCTTCAAGGGAAAGTGTCAGTCCTGGGCATAAGAGAAGTGGTCCAGCTCTAGGCTGAGGTGTAGTACAGGGAGGGCTTGCTAAACATGCCTAAGCCTAAATTCCACCTTCAGTACCACAGAGGGGCAAACTCTTCGTCCTTTACTCTTTAAGGAATCTAGGAGCTCCAGCTTTGAAACTGAACTCCCTACAATCTAGAAAAGGGCAAACAGGCATCACTTCCTCCTTCCTTCAGATGTGTAAGAAGAACACAGACAGACCAGTGTCTTTGTGATCCCAGGAAACGGCAGGCAGACAAAGATGGACTTTCAGGGCTGCTGGGATAGTCGTAGGGTTGGATGCAAGCATGTGGGAATGTGGCCTGCTTGTCTTATAATCTTGTACTCTCCTTTCCCGCCTTGTCCTCCACATTCAGTTCCCTCCATCTGTCTCTACCACCACCACCGTTACCTCTGAGAAGGTAGTGGCTAGGAAGGGCCTTTTAAGAAATGACCACATGCTGGTGGCGCAGGCCTTTAATCCCAGCACTTGGGAGGCAGAGCCAGGCAGATCTCTGTGAGTTTGAGGCAAGCCTGGACTACCAAGTGAGTTCCAGGAAAGGCGCAAAGCTACTGCACAGAGAAACCCTGTCTCGAAAAACCAAAAAAAAAAAAAAAAAAAAAAAAATGACCACAGGCTTGGCAGTAGTGGTGTACATCTATAATCCCAGCACTCAGAGGCAGAGCCGGGTGAATCTCTGCTGTGGGATGTTCTGTATGGCAAATGTGTTGCTCTGATTGGTCAATAAATAAAACACTGTTTGGCCATTGGCTAGGCAGGAAGTATAGGCGGGACAAGGAGGAGAATAAAGCTGGGAAGTGGAAGACTGAGAGAGACACTGCCAGCCGCCATGATGACAAACAGCATGTGAAGATGCCGGTAAGCCACGAGCCATGTGGCAAGGTATAGATTAATGGAAATGGATTAATTTAAGCTGTAAGAACAGTTAACAAGAAGCCTGCCACGGCCATACAGTTTGTAACCAATATAACTCTCTGTGTTTACTTGGTTGGGTCTGAGCGGCTGTGGGACTGGCGGGTGACAAAGATTTGTCCTGACTGTGGGCCAGGCAGGAAAACTCAAGCTACAGATCTCTGTGAGCTCAAGGCCAGCCTGGTCTACAAAGTGAGATCCAGGACAGCCAGGGCTACACAGAAAAACCCTGTCTCAAAAACAAAAACAAAAAACCAAACCAAACAAACAAAATAAGAAATGACCATAACTATTTCCTGGGTAAAGAGCTGACTGACTTCACGACTTCACACCAGTGTCTAGGATATGTAACCAGTGTGTACAGTGTGTGTGTTCAAGTTCTCACTGTGACAGAATGGGAAGAACTGAAGTCAGTTTGACTTTGTTCCCCCTGACTCCATCAAGTTGGGATAAACTAGGTCCTGGGAGTTGGGGACAGAGAAGACCAAATACCCTAGATCTGGTAAGGATCCACTGAGTACTGGTCCAATCTCATTTTTACCTGAATTGATGAAATCATTCATAAGTTAATGTGGAAATTTTTTCCTGGGACCATGAAACCCAGCAAGCTTCCTCCTAACTCTTTTCTAAGATGTAAGTTCTGTTTCTAGGACAACCGTTTATTACACACTGGCTACCCTTTTACCTATATTAATTTGTACTGAACAAAGGAGAGAAGCTTGACTTGGCATTCACCCTTAGCATCTATCCCAAGTATCTTATTATTTTTTTAAAACAGTAACATAAACTGGGTTACATTTTAGGTTTGTGTGTGTGTGTGTGTATGTGTGTGTGTGTGTGTGTGTGTGTGTGTGTACCTATTAAGAGTATGTAGAAGCCAGAGGTCAACTTTGGTTCTCATTCCTCTATGCTATCCACCTTATAAACTTGAGACAGGGCTTCGCATTAGTCTGGAATTCAAGTTGGCCAGAAAGCTTCACGTCTGCACATCCCGAGCACTGGGATTACAAATGCACACCATCATGCCTGGCTTTTAGTTTTTTTGTAATAATATTTTTATTGATTCTTTGAGAATTTCGTGCAAATGCATTTTATCATATTTCTCCTCCTTTCCCAGCTCCTTCCGGATTCACCACCCCCTCCCTATCCATTTGATGTCTTTGTGCTCTCTCTCTCTCTGTTTCTGTCTGTCTCTCTCTCTCAAATTGTGAGCTCAATTTGTGTTGCTCCAATACTCTTGGATGTGGGGCCTGCCCTGATATTGATGAGTTACCAGGGATCGCTACCTTAAAGACAGCTGCCTCTCCCTCTTCCAGCAGGTATCAAATGGCAGGAACTCCTCAGTTTAGGGTAGGACTTCCCCTCTTCATGCTGGGATTATGCCAGGTTTAAACTCACACAGGTCACAACCACTGTGAGTTCATAGAAGGTGCTGCCCTGGGGAGTCTAAAAAAATATTGTTCTTTGTAGTCACCCACCACCTCTGACTCTTCTAACTTTCCACTTCCTGGGACTTGGGAGGAGGAGCTCTGATGTAGATGTCTCATTTTTCAATCTCATTCTCTGCATGCTGACCAGTGGCAGGCCCCTGAATTAATTGCTGTCTACTGCAAGTGGAAGTTTCTCTGATGATATCCAGAGATGTGCTAATCTATGGGTGTAACAATAAGTCATTGGGAGTTGTTCTAATTCTATGTCCACTAAGCAGAATAAATTCTAGGGTTCTCCCCTAGGTCTTGTGATCCATCTAGCCTCAGGTTCTTGGCCCTGAAAATGGTTCCATCTCATGGAGTAGGCCTTAAATCCACCCAGGAACTGGTTGGTTACTACCATAGAACTAATTCCACTACTGCACCAGTGGGTGTACTTGCCAGAACAGTCACCATTGCAGCTCATAGACTTTCTAGCTGCCTAAGATTGGTAAGTACTTTCCTTCTCTCATTTCATACATAGCATCTTCTGGCACCGTGGAAGCTAGCCAGTAGGGATGAAGCTTCCATATCAGTGCTCACTTAATTTCTCTGTTTTATAACTCAAGGTGTGGTGTCTTCAGGAATAGGGTCTTACTGTTAAATTCTGGATAATAACCAAGATCAATGACAACACCCCATATTACTTGGGGGTCTTTTGGGACCCCACTGTCCAACAACTCAAAAGGAGGTAGGTCATTCCTGGTACTGGGGTTTTTATGTGCTAGAATGAGGGATAACTAACCCTAGAGACTCTTGAGAGAGCCATATGGAGACCTACGACTGTAGAAGATTCCCAAGATATGCATATACATGTTACGCATGTATAAAGAGTTAAAGTGATGGTACCCTATCAAGAGGAGGGGTTCCCCAGCGTGCCTCACATTTTTGTTTCGTCTTCTATAAGATGGATTCTGGAGACTCAAACTCAAGTTCTCATGCCTGCACTTACACAGTTGGCAAGCACTTTACCAACTGACTGATTGCCCATGGCCCCACAGTTTGGGTTCTGTGGAGTCGATTCCATCCCCATTACCCTTTATTAAAAATAGCAAGTAAATTAAGATTAAACATCTACTACTTTTAGTGAAATTTACCAGGTTTATCTTTAGATTTTGAAAGATTCTTAGATGTCAGCAGAGGGAAGATGGTCTGGGGTGCTCATCTGTGGGTGTAGGTGAGGAGGACTGAGGGTGACATTTGGTGTCTTCACCTAAGGATCATTGGCTCCCCAAATCCGTAGCTTGTCATTTTAGCTAGACAGGCTGGCAAGCGAGTCCTTGGGATTGACTCACTTCACCCCACCAAGCACTGGGGTTACAAATGTGTACTGGCCTGGCTGGCTTTTACCTGGTCGGTAGAGATCCAAATCCAGGTTTTCGTGTTCTCATAGTAAGTATTTCGTCTGTTGAGCCTTCTCCCCAGCCCTGTTGGCAATGTGGCTAAAGCACAGATTTCAGAGAAGTCACTGAAGTAACATGTATCTTCCCTCTTCCAAATGCTCATAATATTTTGTGTGCATGTGTACATCACACGAGTTTCCTCCAACCCTTGGCTCTTGAACACGAGTAAGTGTTATATAAAGTGGTAACTGGAGCTCTACAGAGCCTGGGCTTTTTAGAGCTGAGCCATGTGTGATGATAAACAAACAACCCCCAAAGTGCCTGTCTTGCTTTTGGCAGGGGTGTTCAGGACTCAGCTGTGAGGCCTCGTTACTCCTACAGAAAGAATTTGGGCGAAGGAAAAAAAAAAAAAGATTCCACTTCTTAGCACGAAAGTAGGAAAGGCCCATTAACAACAGAAATTACATATGTGCAAAAGATATGGGGGCGACCTGACTCAGAACAGAAGAAAAATACCAGTAGTTAGTTTTCAAGCGCAGAGGAGAAGCAGAAGGCGAGGGCGGGAATGTTTTCAAAAATCTCTGGCTCATTGTACTGACTTTTTGTTTTTTATGTTGGTGAGTGAACCAAGCCCCCTGCAATGCTTAGGCTTGCCCTCTAGCACCAAGCTGCACCCTCAGACCCAGAGGAAGTGCTCACCAGCACGGTGCTGGTGCTGTACCAAGTCCTCAGACCGTGGGTGTTTCTGACCCACAGCGCAACACCACCAAAACATTGTTTCCGGTTGTGTGCAGAGTCAGACCCTCCTGCTAGACCAAGCAGCACACCCAGGTGAATTCAGAATGAAAAAGCCCTGTTTTATTGACCCCCGACTGTAGCGTGAGGGAAGTTATTTGCCAATCTGTTATTTGCAGCTGGATGTCACAATGACCCCAGGGACCTGCCTTGCTGGGAAGAGGCCTGAACGCCACACACTTAGACTTTGTCCACGGTGGATATAAGAAATTGCCCTATTTTAGAAAAATGCTTTGTCTTTCTTTCCCGTTCAAAACAGCTACTAGGATATTAATTATTCCATGTCTTCAAAGGAAGGCTCCTTGACAAATTCCCTCTAGAACTAAGGGCTAGATAAAGGTTCACTCCCCTTGGTGAATAGTTCCTTAAAATTACATGAGAAGGAATTCTGCTAGAGGGTGCTTTCTCTTCTGGGTGAGGCTGGGGAGCAGTCCAGAAGGAAGTTTAATTGGTCTCGATCCCTTCACTAGAAGAATCACTGCCATGTTTCCTCTTTCACACCCCCCCCCTTCCCTCTTTTGCTTTGCTTCATTACTAAAATCGTCCTCACAAATACAACTTTTTTCTTTTCTCGAGGTGGGTGGCATATTAAAAAGGTACCATTAACTCAGAGATTAGAAATACACCTCCGGGGACGTGTGTGCTTCCAGTTGACCCTGTGGGTCCCCCAGAAGAATGCTCCTTTCTTCCCTTTTCATTGTTTTTTGATTTCCAGAGAGAAAGGATGAGAAAACAAAAGACAGCATCAAGGGCAGAGGTTTTGAGCCTGGAAATTTCCCAACAACGAACAGTAGGCGAACAGGGCTCCATCCACTTAAAGACAGATCCTACAGAGAATCATGATTTCCGTGTCCCAAGTTCCAAGACCTTCCATGGACATAGTGAGAGCTGGTCTGAGCCAATTCTTTCCTTAAGGCTCAAGTGACAAGTGTGTGTTATTAAGGTGCCCCAGGTGCTACTTTCATCACTGGTGAGAGGAAACAGTGGGTGTGTTTACATTTGTCAGAGGCCGGAGGATGGAGCTTGCCCAGGGAGTGAGGTGACTGCAGAAAGGGACAATCTGCTTGGCAGCTAATCACACCCCTAGATGTCCCGGACATCTATTACTATTACGATCTTCGTGTGTGTGTGTGTGTGTGTGTGTGTGTGTGTGTGTGTGTGTGTGTGTGTGTGTGTGTATTATATCCTTAATTACGTCACCAGCCTACGATGGCGTCCCAGCCTAAAAAGTGGGCATGCTCTCTCTGTGTCCTCTTCTTTCCACACTCTCTCCTTCCGTATTCTCCCCACTCCGCGCGTGCGCGTGCGGTCTTTCTCTCTCTCTCTCTCTCCCCCCCCAATAAAGCTCTAGAAAGGTAACCATGGCTCGTGATTCTTCCACCGCCGCAACATCCATTGGCATGGCCAGCCACAAGCGCCGCCGCCGCCGCCGCCGCCGCCGCTTAACCAACAGTGTGTATTTAAAAATTGTCCATGGCCATTAACGAGAAATGAGAAACCAATGGGTTCAGTAGTTGGAAGATGATCCTCAGGTAGAAACACAAAGGCCTTGGGGATGTTTCTCCTTGAGGCCTCAGTGTGTGCATCTGGTTTTAGGAGGAAAGACTTAACTCTCCTAATTAGATTTTATTTCTCTTACTTAGATCTACTGTCTCTTCATTCTGTGCATTAAAAAAAAAAGACATAGCAATAATATAATATCAGCTTCAGTAAATAGCAGGTACACGTTAAATGAGTTTGATGCGTTTTGTCTTTGTAGGCAGGGTTTCACTCTGTAGCCCTGGCTTAGCTGGAATTTGCTGTGTAGACCAGGCTGGCCTCTAGTTCAGAGATCCGACTACCTCTGCTTCTCAAGTGCTGGGATTCCTTTGGCCAGCTGTTAAATGATTTTTTTTAAGTAAAAGAGCCACAGGTGGGTTTAAACAGAGCTCTCCTGCTGGCAGCTGGACCTCAGAGTTCCATCCTGCACTGGTCTTGTCTAGCAAGGAAGTGTGCTGCTTGTCACGTGGTATCCCTTTTCTTCTTCCTGCCTGGGGAGGCCGCTGCGCATCACCCAAGCTCCCTTGCTGTCAGATGAGGCTGGGGATGGCAGGCAGGCAGGAAGCGGATGCAGCAGGAAACTCTACCCTTCCATCTCTGACTGTAGAGGCCTCACGGCAAACACCTTCTATGCGTGTCCCGGGCTCGCTTTTGTTTGGTCTTTTACTGGCCCCCACACCGGCTAAGAAAACTGCGTTAGGGTCCTTCTTTTGAACTAGGCGAGTGGATTTTTGTTTTCAGCCAGGTCTCTCAGTGACACAATGGTGACAGCTTTGGCAAACTGGAGATGGGTTTGGAGCAGCGGGATTAAATTTCAAACCTCTGGGATCCCACCCAAGGATTCCTTCTTCCTAGCAGCCTGCTGGGTGGAAAGAGAAACAGGGAACATTTACCCACACCAACACACCCAGTACACCTAGACTTCTGTGGTTTGCTGGTAAGCCTGGTAAGAGGTGCCAGCCAGTCCACTCCTCTGCAGTAGCTAATAAATGCTACTCATCGAAAGACTATAGTGCACTCAGGCACTTGGAGGTAAAAGGACTTTGCTTGTGACTCAGTCCAATAATAATAACAATAGCAACAACAACAATGTAAGACTTTTTTTTTTTTTTTACTTTTTATTTATTGTGGAGGTTGTTTTTTAAATAACAATTTGACAAAAGGGTGAGGAGACTCCATAATGGGGTAGTGAGGTCGGAGTCTAAGCTTGGTTCTGTCGGTGGAACTGTCCTCAGGACCTGGCATAAAGCTGGAACTGTACATAATTACAGAGGTGGTGGTGGTGGTGGTGGTGGTGGTGGTGGTGGTGGTGGTGGTGGTGGTGTGGGGGCTCTGTGAGGAGAGGGGGCTGGCGTGTGTGAAATGACACCCTCGGTCTTTCATATTTATATTATATATGTATATATATGTATAAAATATTACATCCAAGGACGGCAGTCATTTGTACCATTTCCCAGGGTAACCCGGATGCAGGCAAGGCAAGGGCCCCGGGGCGGGTGTGGAAGGCGGAGGTGGAAATGCCTGGCTGGTGGTTCAGAGAAGTTGCAGGAGCTTCAGGGACTGTAAGAGGGCCCCGGGCTCTGCCGAGGCCAGGTACTGGCAACACAACCAGTCTTCCAGCTCCACACCCCGCCTTCGGTCCACAGCCTTCTCCGCAAACTTCATCATCATCAGGGCTCGCTTCATGTCGATCCAGTTGTGCAGGGTGCTACACAACACCTCCTCCGAGGTGCACGGCTGCTCCACCAGCTCCCGCCGGGGCCCCCACAACAAGCACTGTAGCACCCGCTTAGCCTCACCTATGCGGATGCGCTTAATGGGGTCCGCCTCGAGCAGCAGGTGAGCCAGCTGCTGCAGGCCCGGAGAGTAGAGGGACAGGGTGGGTAGTGGGGGTAAGTCCTCCCGCCGGTAATCCCGCTCCCGGAGCTGGGCCCGCACCTCGAATGGGTTGGGCTGGTGGAGCAGCTCATAGATGAGGATGCCCGTCTGGAACTCATCAAATTTGCGGTACTGGGAGGCAGACACAATCTCCGGGGCCAGCCGGGCCTGGCTCTTCTTCTGTTGCAGGTTGGTGGTGCCGCCTGGCTTCTGCTTGGCCTTCAGGAAGTTGCTGATGATGAGCCGGGGCAGGTGCTTCTCACCAGGCCCTCCCCGGCAGGCAGCGGTGGCTGTGGGCATGGCAGAGGGGCACCGGGATGTGGTGGTGGTGGTGGTGGTGGTGGGCACGGTGGGAGTGGCAGAGGGCCCAGTGGAGCCCTGAGGGTTACAATGCGCTAGCAGCAGGTTCTCCAGACACAGGTCCCGGTGGATGATCCCGTGCTCCTTCAGGTGCTCCAGCCCATTGCAGAGCTGCAGTAGCAGGAAGCACACCCGCCGCTCGTAAACTTCAGGCTCGGCCCGGTGGCTGGCTGTAGAGTCCCGCACGAAGTCCGAGGCCGTCTGGTGAGGCACCTCCCGGGTGATGACCACCACGCAGTCCTGCTCCTGGGCAGGGGAATGTGAGGGGGCGGCAGGCGCAGGGTCCTTGCTGGATGTGTCCGGGGAAGCGAGCATGCTGGAGGGTACAGAGGCCACGAAGTGGCCGCAGTCTTGCTGGATGTTGAAGTGCACGGGCACAGATGGGCTGCAGTAAGAGGCTGATTTGGGTTCCGGGGTTTTGCAGATCTGTGGCGAGAAGGAAAAATGAGATTAGGAGTGGGATCTGTGGTTCTGTGGAACAGATATCAGGATAGTTGGTGCTGTACCAAGAGGTAGACAACGCCTTCCCGCATATCATACATTCAGAAATCACTCAAAGGGGCTCACAAAGACTTAAGAGTTAATGCCAAAGCGTCCAAATTTTAGAAAAACATGGAAGAAATATATGACAGTATCTCTTGAGACTTCAGTTTAAGCATCATTTTCTTCTCTCTCTCTCCCTCTCTTCTCTCTCTTTTGATTTTTAGAGACAGGGTTTCTCTGTGTATCCTGGAACTCACTCTGCAGCCCAGGCTGACTTCGAACTTACAGAGATCTGCCTGTCTCTGCCTCCGGAGTGATGGGATTAAAGGCGTGGCCACCACTGCCTGGCTTCTTTCTTTCCTTCTAAGAAGCCACACCGGAAGTGTGATCCACAAAGAAAATAGCCCAAGCCCGGGAGGATGCTTTAGGGGCACTGTGGAACAAGAGAAAGATGGCTCTTTGTCGGCAGAGTGGCCAGGATGGAATATCACAAAGCTACCCGGTCAGTCTGACTCCCCCTATCCTTTCTTGTGGGGTGTGGGATACATCACTGTGAGGGAATTTCAGGAACCATGGTATTCCCATACCTTTAGGACTTGGTCATGTTCTCTTAAGTTGCTTTGCTTCCTAGATCCAGGTAAACATGCAATGCCTGCTCTCTAAAATGACCTAAGGGGCTGACTGAGCAGCTGCTGGGCAGGAGCTGCACTCTGCTCCAAGCCAGAGCCACAGCAGCTGGACCAAAACAGCAAGCTCTCCTGAGAAAACAGAGCCCACATGGCTGGCTGGAGGCCATCCTCAGGACTGAAAGCAGGAATAAACAAGATACATAATCTCTAACTCCCCTGTGGGAGGGTGCCCTGGGGGATTCCACACAGCCATGATGTGGTCTCTTCTGCTCATGATGACAGGGTCAGCCATCAGAGGAAAGCTAATAACCTGCATTGAGCCCAACTCAACTGGAGAGTCTCAAGCCAGCCCGGAAGGTCCTTTTGGGCCCCAGATTCCTTGTAATTACACTGGGAGGAACTGGAGATGTTTTCTCCATGTCTGTCCATCTGTCTGTCTGTCCGTCCATCCGTCTGTCTGTCTGTCTGTCTGTCTCCCTCTTTCTCTCTCCCCCTCTCTGTCTCTGTCTCTCTTATCCTCTGCCTTTCATGCAGCCTTGCCCAGGTTTAGGGAGGGGAAGAAAGGTACCTCTCTATCAATTAAAAAATGCCAGCAGCCAAGGACCGATCACAACAGTTACAAAGTGCCACAAGACTTTTGGAGTCTGAAGTTCCGTTCACAGTCATTTATTTCTATTTCAGCTACATAGACCTTACAGCATGGGACTCTGAATCAAAGCGTTCACTCAGCCTCTGAATAAAGCTTTTTTTTTTTTAATTTTTATAAAGCTAACCAAGGAGTGGGTTACATATTAATGCATCAATCTCTCTACTGTGGAGGCAGACTTGAAATAAACGGAAAGTATATCTACCCCAGACATTACTCCTCAGTACTCTAATAAAAACTGATTTGGAATCCATGTGTAAAGGATCTTGCCTCAGGGTCTCATTGCACCATACCCAGCCATGCTGCTTTTAAATGACATTCCTCTGGAATCCTTTCATTTATTAAATGCAACGTTATTTATTATTTTTGTTATGATGATGCTATGTGTGTGCAAGGGGGGGGGGATGCTGTGTGTGAGGGTGGGCCATGGAGTATGGGAGAGGAGGTGGGGGATCAAAGGACAATCTCCCCTAACCAGTTCTCTCCTTCCACAGTGCATTCTGGGGCTCAAACTCAGGTGAGAGGCTTGCACACAGCCCATGCTTTGCTGGCTGAGCCATCCCTTTGGCCTTGGGACACTTTTAAATGAAAGGAAATTGGTGTGGACAGGTCCTCAAAAAAAGCCTTGCCTATAAATACTCGGTGAGTGTCCAGCCACTGTCCGCCAAGCTCAGGTGGAGATTTTTCACTCTTCATTCACAGCAGTTACATGCTGGATCTTGCATATTTGGGGCACCGTGTCACCGATTCGGCTCTCACAAGATGTCTCCTTAAATGCCACAAAGCTCAAAGCAGTATATGCTCTAACAGAGGGGGAAACTGAGGCTTTGAGTTGAAACTACCTGACTAGGCACCTGGAAGTGTTCTCTAGAGTCAAATGCTCAGGTTTCAGGAAGGAGAAGACATGGGTTTAAATATCAACTTGGCAATCTTTAAGTGGCAGGCGATTCCTTTCTGAAGTAGTTGTGGTCTACAAAGGAGCTTCAAATATGGAATTGGCACATACGGAATGAGGGCAGCCTCTAATAAATACAGGGCAAGGTTTCAATGACTCTGGCTGCAGTGTTTTCAATAGCTGATGGCTATGTGACTTTGTTTTGTGCGCATTTCTGTCTAGAGGAGCCTTATTTAATCTATAGTGTTGACAGTGAATTCACAGCCAACACACTATATAAGTCATATTTTCTCTGTAAGTCCCATTACTGGCTCCCTGCTTAGGAACACTAACAATCCTGTAGCATTACACTTGAGGAGGAGGGGGCGCTAAACACCAAACTCATGAACAACAGAGACAATGAAAAGCACCCCGTGTAAAGGGGAGGCATTGAGCACACTCAAAAATAACACACGCTTTTGGTCGGAGCAGAAAGCAGGTGCAGAGTGTGTCCTGATTCCCCATCAGCTGGAAACAGGCACACTCGGCCATCCCCATTTTCCCCTGCCCGGCACGTGTCCACAGAGGATGGAAAAACGCTTTGAGTATTGATCTGTGGGTTACAAATGAATTTCAGTGGGCAGATTATGTTACAAATACGGGAGCAACAATGCCGATGATCGGCGGCATTTATCTCTCATTCTGTTTTCTTTGTGCTTTTAACTGGGACGGTGGTGGCTCCTGAGGATTAGCTTAAATGATACAGGTATGGCTTTGGGCACCAAGCCTGGCCCATGGTGAGCCTGCAATGAAAGGGTTGCTATGGTGACTGCTCTTGCCATTATGTCTGTAGCCATGTGGTGGGGCAGAGCTATCCAGAGCTGGTTTGCAAGTTCTCTACAAGCCTGAACTGAGCAGCTGCCAGGGCCTGGGAAGGGCTTCCAAGGCTGTCTTTCCTTCAGGGAATAAAAGGCCCCAGTCTAGCAAACACAGGGGCCCAGAGCCCCAGTTGAGCCACTGACATTTTGCACAGAGATGTAAATTAAGGGACTGGGTAAATAGTAACCGGCTGGATGCATTACCAAATCAGTGAGCAGCAGCCTCAAGAAAGGGCCACACCACAACCACCCCCGCCATTGGAGTCAGTTGCTCCTGGGACAGCTAACCAGTCCCCTCCCAGTCCTGGGTGGGGCATCCCAAAATCATTCTACAGAGTAAGATAAAGACTGAGGAATGGAGTTGTGACAGTGATCTCCATCCCTATCTTCCTCCTCTGCCACCCATCTCAGTTCCAAGGGACCTTGTCCTTGGTTTTAGCTCTGGAACTTTCCAAAGACCTTGGACTTGGCTCGAATTTCAAACCTGGTGCAAACTTTGTCTTGTTTTAAGCTTTGGAACCAGAGCCTCGTTGATGGGTGAAAACCTGGACTAAGCCATGTCTGTTAAGCAATATATAAATAAATAAAATAAGAAGAAAGAAAACACAGCCCCAAGGCTCATAGGTCCCTAATTATGAACTTCATCTCTACATGGCTGAGAAACAGCTTAAAACCCCTCGGGAACTAATGATTTTTTTTTCTCTTTCTGCCACATATTCATGGAGTAAGGCTCTGAGAGCCAGTTTATGTCTTGATGTTGCAGGTCAATGAGCCTGTGATTGGAGGTTCCGGAGTCAGGGGCAAGCAGGTGCCCATTTGCTATTGTTCACTGGGATTCAGGAGCAACGCAGCATTTGATTTCTGCGTCAGCTCCTGCTTCACACACACAGATGAACTGAGCTCAGGGACACACAGGCAGGCGGCTGGGAAGGAGCCCAGCTCCCCCTCCTGTGGGCTCTCAGATGACTGTATTCCGTCTAGACGGCAGAGCTTAATGAAGTGGAACAGCTGCACGTGCCAAACGATGCTCACAGCTCCCCGCCTCCCTCCACCCCCGCCCCATCGCCAGACCAGGCACATTTGCAAAATCATAACGCCTTTCCTGATTTCAGTATCACATCATGAGTATTTGATACTGTTCTCCAAACTTCGTTTTACGGATGGTTCGATGATGAACTACCACTTCTCCAGGAAAGTCAAACAGGAACCCTCTAGGACCCTCTTTATGGGAATCAGTGCTTATCTTCAGGTTTCCTCCTGTTTAAACTCCTAATGCAATGTGGGAATGCCTGCTTCTACCATCCTCTGGGAAGACTGAATTTTTTGTTATGTATTGGGGCACAATGGCTCGAGATTCCAAGCTACTTGGTACAGTCGCTCACAGATAGGGAAAGATTCTCTACCCAAGGTTTGAACTCAGTGCTAGGCCCTCCCTTGGTTCTTGCCATGTAATCCCATCACTTTCTTTGAATGAAGTTTCTTCAAGACTGCATGAGACCCCCAGGTTCAGCAGCAGGAAGTAGGACCAGAGTAACGGAAGCTCATGAGCACAAGACAGGGTCAAAGACAGGAGGGCAAGTCACATTCTCACACTCACTGAACATCTAAACTCCCTTCCAGTCCACATGGTGACCTGGGGCGTTCAGTTCATCTTGCTCATTTTCCAATCACCCTATCTCCTTCAGATGGTCCCCGATTGCAAACAGTTACATGTCTTCTCTACTTTGTGAGGGTGCAAAGATGGAATACAAATTCAGTAGCAATTGCACTGCGAAGTTGCTCTTCCCCTCGGCTGGCAAGACGCAGGAAGACTCTTCCTTGGGATGGGGCAGGGGCAGTAAGAAACACTTCTAGTCACCATGGGAAACAATGGCGACTTCACGCTGGCTGAGCTGTTGAGCCAGACAGTAGATAGAGTACTCAATGCATTCTCGACTTCCCATATTTGCAACTTATACTGGGTATTTGGGGAGATAGCTTCAGCATAAGTCAAGAAGTAAAGATACTGGATACAGCCATCCATATAGAAAAAACTATGGCCCTTTCTTTTAACCTTGGTTGCGGGGGAGGGGGACATGAAGTTTGGCTTACCCAAAAGTCAGCATCTAGGTTCAGACATGAAGAGGCAATGAATTCCAAGAACTAATGCCACAGAAGCTCCCTTGGGACAGTCACCTTCCTCCCCACTTCCCTCCCCTCCCTCCCTCCTTTCCATTTCTTGTGGCTCTGGTGATGAAAGCAGGAACCTCACATGTGCTAAGCAAGTGCTTTACTACTGAACCCCTTGTTCGTTTGAAGACAGATTCTGGTTGACTTACCCAGACTGGCCTCAAGCTCACGGAGCAGCCCAGGCAGGCTGTGAACTTTGGATCCTCCAACTTCAGCTTCCTGAGCAGCTGGGATCACCAGGCCTGGCAGGATTTTCTTGCTACCAGTGCCTACTCTCTTGGTCATAGCCTGATCCAGTTCTTTTGATCTGTCTAACTATGATCCTGGTGTGACCTGTCTATGATCCTGGTGTGACCTGTCTAACTATGATCCTGGTGTGACCTATCTAACTATGATCCTGGTGTGACCTGTCTAACTATGATCCTGGTGTGGCCTGTCTAACTATGATCCTGGTGTGACCTGTCTAACTATGATCCTGGTGTGACCTGTCTAACTATGATCCTGGTGTGATCTGTCTAACTATGATCCTGGTGTGATCTGTCTAACTATGATCCTGGTGTGACCTGTCTAACTATGATCCTGGTGTGATCTGTCTAACTATGATCCTGGTGTGACCTGTCTAACTATGATCCTGGTGTGATCTGTCTAACTATGATCCTGGTGTGACCTGTCTAACTATGATCCTGGTGTGACCTATCTAACTATGATCCTGGTGTGACCTGTCTAACTATGATCCTGGTGTGACCTGTCTAACTATGATCCTGGTGTGACCTGTCTAACTATGATCCTGGCGTGACCTGTCTAACTATGATCCTGGTGTGATCTGTCTAACTATGATCCTGGTGTGATCTGTCTAACTATGATCCTGGTGTGATCTGTCTAACTTTGATCCTGGTGTGACCTGTCTAACTATGATCCTGGTGTGATCTGTCTAACTATGATCCTGGTGTGACCTGTCTAACTATGATCCTGGTGTGATCTGTCTAACTATGATCCTGGTGTGACCTGTCTAATTATGATCCTGGTGTGACCTGTCTAACTATGATCCTGGTGTGACCTGTCTAACTATGATCCTGGTGTGGCCTGTCTAACTATGATCCTGGTGTGATCTAACTATGATCCTGGTGTGACCTGTCTAACTATGATCCTGGTGTGACCTGTCTAACTATGATCCTGGTGTGATCTGTCTAACGATGTGGAGCTTCCTAGTAGCTGTCTCTGTACCCTCTTGACAGAGGGGAGGCTTCTTCTAAGTGTACGGAGCTCCCTTGAACATACTCATCAGGGTTCTCAATCTGTCTTTTCTGGTGGTATCACAAGTTTCTTCAAAGAAAAATCTCAAGTAAGATTCACTCCAGTGGCATAGGTAACTAATCCATCAGCCAAGAATCTAACTGTGAGAGTAAATACTGAGCAAACGTTATCGCCACCTACACTGTTCAGGACAACGTCCTGCCTCCAACACTTGAAGAGCAAGCATCTTAATGGTCCATTTCTGTTACTGGATTATAAACTCCATAAGGAATCTCGCATTCACACCTCTATCTTCAGATCTTTGTGAAATACGTAGCATAGAGTAAAAACCTGCTGAATACTTGTCTGAACTCTGTGCACTGGATCTGCTTTCCTATTGCAACCGGACCCACAAACATAAGAGCACAGACCACATCTCACACTCATGCTAAGAATCTCATGGCGCGACTTCCCAGGGCCGGGCAGAGAGTGAGATAGATCACCAAGTACCAAGTCTAAAAGGAAGCTTGCTAACTAGCCCGCTTCCAAAAGCTTGGCGAGGTGGGTCAGCTAGTCAAACCACAGAATGGAAGGGGAGATGGTACCCACCTTCACAGCATAGGTGCTGCCAGGGTCCTCGGAGCAGGTGGCACAGTAGTAAATTGCATCCCCGGAGTCGCAACAAGGCTTGTTGCACGTCAACTTGAAGAGTGACCAGTTATTCTCATTGAAGCGCAGTTCTTTTTTCTGGCCGCCCATGAAGAGGTCTTCGCACTTGGTCACCAGGCGGGCCAGGGACTGCGTGTAGAGGCCCCCCAGCTTGGCATAGGTGCCCTCCTTGCTGCTGATGCTACTCAACAGGCTGTGCAGCTGAAGCTGGGTGCTGCTGGAGGAGGTCTGGCTGGACACGCTGAGCTGGGAAGACGAGGTGGACGTGGCCGCTCTGCACGGGAGACTGGGGCTCCCACAGCCAGCTTTGCTGCCCGCCAGCCCCAGAGCTGGACCCCAGGGGGCACTGCCTTTGAAAGCTTTCTCCAGAGGCTCGGAAGAGGAGAAGACAGGATGGGAATGGTCTCCGGAGTTTAAGGGATAGCTAAAAGGAGGCTCATCGTGGACACACACATTGGTTTCTGAGTGGCTTAGGTTCAGCTTGGGACTGGCGGTCCGTGGCTTAGGGGAGCCTTGGGTCCAGAAGAAGCCATCGGGGGACGAGGCTGCTCGGCTCACTATCTTCTTCTGGGGCAGAGGAGGAGGCTGCACAGGACCACTGGGGGACACATCCTCGGTGGAGCCTGACGGAAAAGGGATAGGAGCAAAGAGTTTTTTCCCGCTGATGGTGGGTGAGTGGGCAGGTTCATACGATGGACCTAAAAAAAAATGGCAGAAAATCATCAGGTTAGAGATCAATGCCACTGGCCCAGGTGCTATAGGATTTTTTTTTTTGAATTGGTCCAAGCAATTCATTTTATTGTATTTCTTTTCTATTTCTTTAAACGGTGTGTGCACAGTGGATAAAACGCAAACTACATGGATGGTGTACACTGGCAGTTAGGTCTCCCTGGTGCTTTTCCCCTTAGCACTGAGTACCTTAGATCAGAGGACTTCTCTGCCAGCAATTTCTCACGCATTGTTCTAATAACCCAAATGCATCTGCATGCATGGGAGCACATAGTGTCCATTCTTTGGAATACTGCTTTTCTTTCTTTTCTCTTGGGGAGAGGTCATCTACTTCGTTCTTCTGAATAGTGGTGTCATAATATATTATCGGAGGTAAGTATCACAACGTAACTAGCTCTCTCATGATAGACAGGCAAGTGACTCTAGAGCTTCACAAACAACACCGTAACAGCAACAGTGAACTTGAATGCACACGTGACTTGAGTCCTCTTCCTGAAAAGTCGGGTGTAAGGAAGTGTTATTTACTAGCGCAAAATGGGCTTGCTCCCCATCTTTGATGTCTGTGTTTCTGAGATGTGTGCGCATGTGTGTTTATATATGTGTGCGCAAGCACATGTTGTGTATGACTGTGGAAGCCAGAGGTTAACCTTGGATGTCATTTCCCAGGTGCCATCCACGCAGCTTTTTGAGAAAGGGTCCTTTATTGGCAGGAGGCTGAAAAGCTGGGCAGCAAGCCCCAGGGATAAAACTATCTCTATTTTCCCAGCACAGGGATCACAGATGGAGTCACCACTCATGATATATATATATATGCTCCAGAACACAGGTCGTCACGGTAGCACAGAATCGCAAACACCCTGATGACTGTGCCATCTCTCTAATCCAGATCTCTGTGTTTGTGCACTTCTTTGGGCTTCCACAAATACCTTTCTGATGTCAGAGAAAGGCAAATCTGCAGAAATTCGAGAAATCAGAAAGATCAGATATTCAACATCATCTTTGGCAACATATTGAGTTCAAGGCTAGCCTGGGCTACACAAGGCCCTATCTCAAGACAAAAAAAGAAAAGCAAACAGTAAGACTTGCGGGCTGGCACACTGTCCTCCTTGCCCTCTTCCAGCCTGTGGTGGCTTTTGCTCTTGCTTCCTGGCCTATCACACACACACACACACACACACACACACACACACACACACACACACACATTTATCAGGATCACAGCAGCTATCTATCCCACCTGGCCCTGCTTAGCCCACAGCGGGCAGGGCTCAGCGAGGGTGGGAGTGTTGGGTGTTCCTGCCAGCAAGGCTAAGTGAATGATTTATGTTTCTTTCAGAAGGCTCGGGTTAATAACAGCGATAGAGGCACAGTGGGGACCAGCAGACTTTCCGTGTCTAAGAATTCTCCCCTCATAGTCACGGCAGACAGTGTTCCAGAACTAGCCAGTGTGAGGCCGGGAGACCACACTGGACTCTGCAAACCTGGAGTCCTCAGGTCTCCTGCCTCATGCTCCCCAGGAAAGTGACTCCGCTCCCATGGACTGGGTCAGTAATGGGGACAAAGTTTACAGATGATTCATTTCCTCTCCATGCTCGCAGAGTTAGAGCGGGGAGGAGGAGGCTTGCTTCCTCATACCCTGGATAAAAAATCCAGGGGCATGACCCCTGCCTATGAGGCTCCCCAAGCCAAGAAGGCCTCTGCTAGTGAGTGAATCCTTGGGGTCAGAAGCAAGAAGGCAGGTGCTTTGGGTACATCTATTTCTGCATCACTTTGCCTTCTGGGTACCAGAACACAGCCAGTGGATTATCACTGGGGCAAGGGCTGAAGTGAAGGTTGGGAGGGCAGTGAAATCTGAATACCCAAAGGCCTGAATCAGTGCCTCCAGGATCAGAGGCCTAGAGACAGGGTTCCTTTCCCATCCCAAGTTCAAGGTGCAAGGGGTTACTAACAGGTCAGTGTCTAGGCCTGTCCACTCTTTAAGTTTTGTTTGGATTTCCTAAGCTTGACTGGCTCTGTCTTCATCTTTAATGTCAGTTCTCTGAATGTCACTAACATTTCCCTTTATGCTTCTACTTGCGATTGAGGGCCAGTGACAGGAATAAACTAGTCATATGCAGCTGAGTTACCCCATTTAAAAAAAAGGAGCAGAAGAAGAAGGAGGAAGAGGAGGAGGAGGAGGAGGAGGAGGAGGAGGAGGAGGAGGAGGAAAAGGCCTGGATTGTACCTTTTGGAATTTCACCACTAATGATGTGTAATTTCAACTACTCTCCATTTCAACCTTTCTAAACATGCATTTTTGTCTGAAAGCAACCTCAGAAACCCCTATACAATCTCTGGGCAGATGGGTATCTCGCTTCCATCTTTCCTTTCTCCAACTCTGATCCCCACACTGGAGGCTGGTGAATTTTCTAATCAGGAACAATGGAGGGACTCTAATCCATCTCACGCTCATTCCCTAGATTGCCAAGGAGAATTAAAATGTCAGTCACAGGCTCTGTGCAGAACCAGTGTTCAGGAAGCTGAGAGGAAGATGCCCCTGCCTGCCACCATTCTGTGATCCCCTGACAATCCTGTAGGAACTGAGTTGGTAGGCAGTTTTGATTGGATCCAAACCTTAGAGCTGCTTGGGGAGCCTGGTAAGGAGTACTAGGTGTAGAAGCAGGTGCAGCGCCAAGGATTAGCAGGTAGGTTGGTCAAATATGTTTAATTTCTTAGATGCTGTGAATGTGTGCCATGATGCTCCAGCTAATGATAGGGAGGTACTGCAGAGATGCTCCTGCATCTTACAGTTCTCGTGGAAGATCCATCTCAATTCCCCTCCCCCATCTCTTTGTCCCAACCCACCCCTTCAAAGCCCACCAAACATGGCTCCTCCCCTAGAGGTGCTCAAGACCACTCCCACAGGGTATTTAAGCTGCATCCCAGAAAACAGACACATGGTTTTCTAGTCTCTCGGTCTCTCATCTCTGTCTCCTCTCTGGGGGGCTGGGAATGTTTTACCCATTAAACTGGGGCTTTTCCTAATTCAGTCTGATTTGGTCTGATTTGGATTGCTGCGTCAGCGGAGAGACTTATGGGGTGCAAAACACCTTTCATACACACCTGCCCAGCAGAGAGAGAAGCATGAAGTCGCACAAAGCTTATCAGTGGTAAGTGGCTCACTTGAAGTATGGACTTCATGTATCCAACTGGGTATTATATACACACATAAGAGATTTTCATTTTTTAAATAAAAATGGGTCTGGAGAGGTAGCTTAGGTGGTAAAGATATGTGAGTTTGAGCTCCAGAACCCACGTAAAAAGAAAGGCATGGTAGAACAAGCTTGGAATTCCATCACTAGTGTTGAGGAGAGGGGACAGGTGGATTCCCCAGGGCTTACTCATCTAGGCTACTTTGTCAGTTTCGGGTCAATGAGTCTATGCCTTAAACCTTAAAACAATAACAACAATGACAAAATGGATACTTGAGTTTGTTCTCTGACCTTTACACACATGTGCACATGCCTGTATTTCTGCAACCAGGTATATGAACCACAAGCTAGGGAGAAAGCAGATGCACACATCTCAGGGTCCTATAATCTTTCCCGTGTGGATATACTTGTGCTACCTGGAAATGGATGCTGACATGTGACCTTCTACCTGGAACTGATTTATCTAGCATGGGACAGAGCTGCCACTCCAGGCTGACCCCGACATTTTCTTGATTCTTTCTTGGAGAACCATTTCTTCAACACTGCCCCAGGCAAACAGCCTTTGAATCCCCTGACAAGCATCCCCCAACACCCAAAATGCTTTCATAATTCACAGGTAAGTCATCGGTCCAGGAAAATCTGCCTAAAAAGAAATCTTGAATGACTTTGGCCAATGGCCAGAAAGACTCACATTCAATGGCACATGAAACCAATTCTATTATATCCTGGTTGTATGCTGGCATTTGGACCACTGTCTCCAAATTCTGGCTTACAGTGAACAGTAGGAAAGGCTGAGAAGAATTTCTGAGAACTAGGCAAGCACTGTAATGTTGACCTAAATTTTCAGCTTTGCCTGTGAACTAAGACCAAGGGTTCCCAACACTATTTCCCAAGTTTTCCTTTCAGTCTCCAGTTCCACACACAGCATACTCAGTTAGAGGTGAACACACAGCGTCCCTTTAGTATGTGTACTTCTGACAAGAGAAGGGTCCTTCAGTGGGAAGCATCACCTGTGGAATGCTGGGTGGGTCGCACAAGGGCAGAGGGAGGATGTATACTACTTTGGTATCTTTATATTTAGAAAGCAAAGAAGGAGTTAGGACTTCAATGGTTGGGAGAAACACGTTAGTCCCCACTCAGAACGCAGGGCAAAAGTTCAAATGTGGTAGCGTGAGGTCTACCTTATGACAGTCTTCTCTTTTTGCTGGGTTTAATAGGTACTTCCACTGTCTCTACAGCCAAATGAGAGCTGGGCTGACAGAGGAAGTGGTCAGCCCTGTTTTGAGCCATATGAGTGAGTACCGTTCAGCTCTTCTATATACCACTCTCTGCCTGTAGCCAGGCTGGAGCAAGCGTGGAGACAGAAGGCACCGTCCCTCCTGAGATCTCCAAGCTCTGCACATGTGTGTGAGCCACTGCCCCAACCACGGGTGAGGCAAAGCCATGTGAACTTGTGTGTGTGTGTGTGTGTGTGCAAAACTTGGAATAGTCTATGGATTGACACTTGACAACAAAATGTAGCTGAGATTTGCCCACTCGTCAGTTAAGATTTCTTAAGCATCTACTAAATGTAAGACGTTAGAAATAAATCAGATGGAGGAAATGCTGTCCAGACCCTGGGGCAGTTTGATTCCTCATTAAAGATGAGGAAAGTACAGCCAAACCACCTGTGTAGGCACCTTGGCATGCAGGAAGAGGCACTCTGGGAGACTTCTGCCAACCAGTGGATAAGTGGGGGCTCAGGGGTTCTCCAGCCTCACAATTTTCCAAAGGGAACTTGTGGAACTTCTCATTTGGTTCCAGAACCTGAAGAGGCTCAGTATCACATGGAAAAATAAAAGGACAAAGGAACGCCTTGCTTTTCCAGGAAGATCAATGTGGCTTGGACTGAAAGCATGTTATTAGCATTTTGCAGCTGGATGGGAACATGTGGCATTTGTGAGGAATCTCTCCAGACCATTCGATCATCCCTGCAAGCAACAATCAAGGCAACGATGTAGTTTGCATGGAGGGAAAGAGAAAGGTCTCCATTTGGAAGACAGCCCCCAGGCCTCCTCTGCCAGCCAGTGGCCCTGCTAGGGCTCCGGAGTTGACATCTTTCAACCTCTTCCTGTGACACAACCAGCCAGGGTTTTCTTCTTAGGTAACTAAACAACGACTTCATCCAAATCACTTTCCATTGTTGGTAGAAAGGTAAGCTGACATTTTCAGAGGACAAGTTGAGGCTAACTACTTGAAACACATCCCCATTTTAACACAGCAACTCTATTTCTTAGGGACTAAGAATTTATCTCGGCTATTCAAACCAAATCCCCCTAGTGTGTGCCTCAGGATCCCACTTTAGTTTTCTAGCAGAACAGCTTAAACAAGCATTGGTAAGTGAAGGGTTTAAATAGTGGCTCACAATGAAATACACACACACACACACACACACACACACACACACACACACACACCAACTTTAAAAACTGAGTTGTACTAAAAGTTCTGACTAAAAGACTGCAAGTACAAAAACGTATACAAGTGAATTTTAGGACACTTGAGAGATTCATAATGACATAGAAACAGTGTTCAGAGTGGCGGTGGGTGCTCGGTGGGTTGATGGGAGAGACTTTTCACCGCATACCTTTCTACGTTGTTTGATATTTAATCATAGATAATGTACGAGCTTACTGAAGTAATAATCGCTTCAAACTCAGTTTAAAGAAAACCATTTCAAGCAAAGCTTCTTTGCTGATGGGGTAGCTCAGGATACTGAAAGAAAGTATTTAAACGGAATATACTTTCCTCTGGGACAAACACCTGTCCTTCAGTAATGTCTCCCGGGACAGAATCCCAGACCCAGTTCTTGATGGGCTGGGGGAATATACTGCATTAGGACAGTTATTTACATAACTTATATATAGGACTGAGCCTATGGATTTAAGATCAAGTGATCTAATAAGCCCATCTACTACAGCATGCATTCAATTGAGGTAGACAGTTGCCCGTGCCTTTCTGAGGATCTCTTTGGAAAATACGACCTCTTCTTGGCAGAGCGGGAGGTGACTGTCCTGTCGGAGAGCGGAACAAGCGCTTGCTGGAAGGTCAGGCTGTCACTCATTCTGACTACAGGCTAATCTTTGTGGACTTCCTGTCTCTTGCCTTGACAGGCATTCCCACCCCTCCCCGCCCCCTTCCTGGCTTGCTCTTTGACCACGGCACTTATTGTATGTATGGAACTAGCCATGCACCCTGTGAAGAAAAGGACTGGTCAGTTATTTCTGGGTCTTCAGGATCTGGAATGGTCCTGGTACCCAGCACATAGTTTATACCAAACATCTACCAAATGAATGACAGAGTATGTATATAAACACACTCACACCCATCCACACACATGCATGTATTATTTTGACTTGCTGGCATTATTGTGGAGGAAAACAAGCTGATTGATGCCACAGTATACAGTTACGTTGCTCGAGCTCTGGCTTGCTAGCTATACCATAAGAGTCGGCAGAGTACTTCTGGCTCTTGTATCCGGTGAGGTTCTGCCGTCCCCTGCATGGTTAGAGCTCCCTGTCCCGTCTGTTGCCGATTCTGGTGGCTTCTGTTAAACAGCAAATTCTAACCTCCCTCTGCTGAATCACTTGGTTAAACCAAAGAGGGAAATGATCTTAATAGGACAGTAAGTCTGTGTTTATTTGGGGTTTTGTAGTTGTTTTGGCGTCTCTTATACACTAGGCTGGCCCGGATTACCAATCACGTTGCTGTGGGTGACTCTGCACTACTGATGTGCTCGCCTCCCCCAGAGAAGTGCTAGAATCGCAGACCTGCACCACCGTCCAAGGCTTTAGGTTTGGATATTCAAAGGTGGCCACTTAAAGCAAAAGAATCTTCTGCTGGCTGTTTAACTCATGACTTCCCCCAATAGCCACCCATCCATTCTCACAACAGACCTGACCCTACATTTGTCCTTCCTGAACCAAGCTCCATCTAAAGAACTGCTGAGACCACTTCATCCCTCCACCCAGTTGACTGTCTGCTTAACGAACTGCTCCCACAGGCAAAATGTCCTAACAGATGCACTAGGAGGGATATGAGATCTGATAAAGGTATAAAGTGGAAAATTTTACAATGATATAAAAACCCCATTTTGTTACTTTAAAATTTAGATAAACTCCTACATTAAAAAATTTAACAGGCCGGCGGTGGTGGCGCACGCCTTTAATCCCAGCACTTGGGAGGCAGAGGAAGGTGGATCTTTGTGAGTTCGAGGCCAGCCTGGTCTACAGAGTGAGTCCCAGGAAAGCCAGGGCTACGCAATGAAATCTATCTATCTCAAAAACGAAACAAACAAACAAAACAAAAGAGTCTGAAGGCAAGCAGACCTGATCCATGGTGGGAAGTGGAACTAAGGATTTCTCTTGTCAGTTTCAAAACTTAGCCCTGATCCAGACCCATATGAAAGAGCAGCAGCTAGAAAGAGAGAAATGGTTTGCCCAAATGGGAAGGGTCACAACACCTTGTTGATTGTGGATTCTAAATTTGGAGGCTCTTGTCCACTAAATACCTGATTTGTGCTAAACAAATAACTGTGGAAATAAATTCATTTTGATTCATGTTATTCAGAAATTAATATGGGAAAATGCCTCTATTGGGTGTCACCACTGTCCTCACAAGATGCAGGTGGCTCTCTGTATTCTACTCTACACACAGCTTCTGAGTGCCTTGCACCATGCAGCGAAGCTCCCCACCACCTGCACCCAGAATAGCACATCAAACGGCTCTCCTTTTCCCAGCATGCAGTGCTCCCCTGTGTCTTTGGCTCCTCTTGACTATTTTAGTACCCTGGAAAATCCTTTGCTCTGCCACTCTGGCATCCTCTTGTCTAGCCACAGCCGTCTTCTCAAAAAAAGTTTTCTGGCCGGGCGGTGGTGGCGCACGCCTTTAATCCCAGCACTCGGGAGGCAGAGCCAGGCGGATCTCTGTGAGTTCGAGGCCAGCCTGGTCTCCAAAGCGAGTTCCAGGAAAGGCGCAAAGCTACACAGAGAAACCCTGTCTCGAAAAAACCAAAAAAAAAAAAAAAAAAAGTTTTCTGGAATTTGCCCTCAACGCTCATTCTAGAAGCCCTCATGTTCTGGGACAACCCGATTTCCTGTCTTACCCCATCCACCCATGTGTCATACATGTTTTAATCTTATCTTTCCCAGCTCATGATTTATGGTGAAGCACTTCAGTCCATTTCTCATGATATCACCCATGTGGTGCCTGAGGGAGGGGTGCATTGTATATAGTCCTCTTAGAACTGGTCATGGTTCTCAAGAGAGTGAATTGAAACTGGCTGGCGTGGGTACATGGCTCAGATACCCAGGTCTTCAGGGAATAATCTGCCTCACTGAAATTTTGCACAGTGGGATGGGAAAAGGAAAGAGATATGAGTCCAGAAAAGCTACAGAAAAAGACAATCTTGTTTTTGCTACATTTCCCCCATATCCAGACGAATACATTTTCAAGTGAGAGTTAGCAGCGCTTTCTCATTAGAAAACTTATAATCCACGTTTGTTGATAAGAATGTGCCATGGTGTCCTCTACCCCAAAAATGCCCTTTGAGAAAAAGTACTTCCATAGAATGAGGAAGTCATGCCAGCACAGGTGTAAACCTAACATGCTAAGGCAGCCTAGGAGAAGAGCGGGAGAAAATACACACAGAACATGCCTAAGGGGTGAAAGGTCATAAACACTACCACGAAATCCACACGTGCAGAAAGCCTCAAGCTCCTTTTTAGGAATATGCCTAACAGGACATATCCACACATTGTACTTCAGTGGTTAATATAGAGGAGGGGTGGGCAGTGACCTTACAAAGCCTTCACCTTTTAATTAACAAACATTTGGGTAAACATCTATTGTGTACATATATGGATACATCAGTATGCATGTAAATGAGACATCAAGACATTCCAAGGTTCCAGGGACCACTGTAGAAATATATATGTATATATATATGACTTGTGACTTGTTACTCAGAGAATCAGGAGCCTTCCAACATGGTGTGTGTGTGTGTGTGTATGTGTGTGTGTGTGTGTGTGTGTGTGTGTGTGTGTTCATACATGTGTGTTGGTCTGAGGTTAATGTCAGGTGTCTCCCTCAATCACTTCTGCACCTTATTTTTTGAGAAGAGGCCTCCTAATGAACCTGCAGCTTGCTGAGTCAGCTGGACCAGCTCGCCAGCAAGCCTCAGGGATCCTCTAATTTTTGCCTCCCTAGTGCCCAGGGATGGGGATCAAAACCCAGGCCTTTATGCTTGTGTAGCAAGCGCTTCATGAGCAGAGCCATCTGGTCAACCTCAACATGTGTTTGATTGCAGCCTCCTTCTACCCTGTTACCAAGTCAATGCACTTCTAATTACAGAGGGTGGTATAATGAGATAGCTCGTCACGTATTCATGAGGGAATGAACGTCACCAGCCCCTGAAGGGTCTACTTCCTCACAAAACAGCACCAGGACTAAAGGACTTGCTCAAGCCTTGCTAATCTGGGTGCCTGACTCAGGTCTGGTTTGCAGACTCCACATATTGCAAGCCTGTCTGTCGACGACAGCTTTGTTACCTCCATCGCTGCAGGTCCGGGAGTCTGAGGCGAGGCTGTCCGTGGAGCCCGTGGTGAAGCTGACGTGGGCCCCTCTGAAGGACGGGCTGAGGCTTTCTGCGGAACTCTGGCTCACTTTTTCCAAGTCAGAGCTGCTCTTGTTCATTTTTAACAGGTGCCTGGAGAGGGAACAAACAGTGGACGTGATTCAATTGGTTTCCACTGAGAGACCCTGCTGGTGGTTCACAGGCCTCCCATGCTCTCAAAAGCTGCCCAGCACCAGAAAGTTATACAAAAAATACTTTTGCGGAGCAAGAACAGGGGTTCTTATGAAATCTTATGCACTTGAATGGTGTTTGCTGAGAGGGTCTAGAAGAAGAGTCAATGAATTCAGACAAGCTCCAATGTCCTGCCTTGGGAGGAGCTGGCTTTACATCTGATCCCATCTGCCATTTAAGTCATCTACTATAGTCTGTGAAGTGTGGCTTTGAGAAGAAAAATGCAGCAGCATCCAGTCCACTTCCTAGTGACACACAGATTGAATGGAGAGCTGCAGAAACCTGATGCTTTGGCAGGCCCTAGGCTGAACTGCAAACTAGGGCTAAAACCACGGGCAGTCTTTGTTTGCTGGCGCCCTTCCGCCACAGCTTCAGTGGTCTGCTCCTTGGACCTAAGGAAAAGTTTATTTACATTTTAACCAGACTTCCAGTGAAATGCTTAAACGGAATCAAATTAACCCTCAGCCCAAACTACCCTTTGGCTTCCTACGAGACGGTTAGTTCTATTACTCAGATAGCATGATCGACATATCAGAGATGTGAACACCAACTGTAAGAGCAAAGCCCCTGCCTCAAAACGAGCAGCAGCAGCAGGCAGAGCGTTCAGGTCACTGACCCCCTCCTGCCCTCTTTCTAAGAGCCACAGGACTACTCACTTGTCACCTGACAGTTTCACTGTGAAATGACACAGACCCACAATCAGTCCCCATTTGCCTGAATGGACATTCCTCGATGGCCTCTTCGCCTTACTGTGGTAAGACCCACACTGCAGCATCTGCCGTGGAAAACATTCAACGTGGTATTGATTTAGCAGCAGAACTGCCTTTCTTAGTGTCCACATCCTTAAAGTCAGGAATTGAGAGATGCTTCTTTGTGGTTGGATTCTCTCTGTTTTTATTCGAAAGATTTAGAGGGAGCTTGTTTGCTATCATAGAAAATGCTCTTCAGAAATCATGTCGTTTCCAACCTCAAGACCCATAGTGGCATTTGTTTCAAAGCCTTCAAGTATTTAAAGTGACCGTGACGGTAAAGGTAAGAGTAAATCTTAACGTTTTAGAACCATTGTCAAGATCTGGGACACAAAACAAGACCAACAAGGAAATACAAGAAAATGAAAATGGAGCAAAAGTACAAGGACCTCTTGGTGCTCGGGGAGCAATAGTCTTTATTTAAGCTTCTGGCAAGATTAACCATCTATTTTCTCCATCAGGTGTTTCAGCAGTAGCATTACGGCTTATAGACTGTAATCAGCCTGCAAAGCTCGTGTATTGGAGGCTTCGGCCTTCTGAGTAGCAGAGTATGAAAGTGGGGACTTTGGGAGGTGACTGGATGACCGGGTCTCTGACGTCATGGATGGATTAATCCATTTATAAACTCAGATCTTAATGAGGTTTGGGGAGACAATGGAACACTTAGGAGATGAAGCCTGGTTGGAGGGAGCAGGTCATAGGGGATATGTCCTTGAAAGGTGTGTTTTGTACCTAGTCCTTTTCCCCGTTTGTCTTTCTGTTCCCAGGCTGCCGTGAAGCGAGCAGCGTTGCTCTGTCTCCTAGCACCAACCCTAATGTTCTGCCTTGTCCCAGACCAGGAAACAACGGATCCAAGTCATCACCGACTGAAACCTTTCCTCCTTCAAGTCGGTTTTCTCGAGCATTTAGTCACTGTGATGGAATGCAAACAGAAATGGCTTTCTCAGAAGTCACAAGATGAAGCTTCGACACGGACAACTCCATGAAGGGGAGAGGCTGGCTCCAAAGTGTTTTCTAGATTTGCGCAGTCCCCAGACCTAGACAAACAGGGGCTAGGGAGATGGTTCGGTGGATGGGAGCCAGGTGTAGCTGTGGGAGGCAGAGACTGGTGGATCCTGCCAGCCTGCTGACTATCTAGCCTAGTGAAAGGATGAGCTTCTGTTTCAGTGGGAGACTCTATCTTGAAGGAAGAAGGTAGAAAGGAAGAGAAGATACCTGACTTCCTCAGGCCTTTGCATGACTAAATGGGCACATGTACTGGCAGACACACACACACACACACACACACACACACACAGAGAGAGAGAGAGAGAGAGAGAGAGAGAGAGAGAGAGAGAGAGAGAGAGAGAGAGAGCAGTGGCCGTGCCGGCTTTAATCCCATCACTCGGGAGGCAGAGGCAGGTGAATCTCTGTGAATTAGAGGCCAGCCTGGTCTACAAAGCAATTTCTAGGACAGCCAGGGCTACATGGAGAAGCCCTGTCTCAAAAAAAAAAAAAAAAGAGAGAGAGAGAGAGAGAGAGAGAGAGAGAGAGAGAGAGGTGTGGGGGAGGGAGGAGAGAGGGAGAGGGAGGATCACCAAGGGAGAAACTTGAGCACCCTGATTACTGAGTTGGCACTGTGCCTACTCTACACACTGAGGAAACACTTGATGAGCTGTGTATAAATAAACGAATCTAAGAGGCTCACAAGTTCGCACATATGTGAACACACATATGCACACACATATGCAAGTGTGCCAAATTTAAAAGCAAAGGGAGCTCTTGGGTGCTGGATGCAAGCAAGATTAAGGATGCTGCTTCAGTACAAAGCAGGACAAAGGATGCTTCTATACAAAGCAGGACAAATGATGCTTCATTAGAAAGTAGGACCAACAATGATGCTTCAGTACAAATCAGGACCAAGAATGCTTCAATACAAAACATGAGCTTGTTGTGGGCTCTGACAGACACTTTTTATTTACAATTTATCACCCATTGCTGAATTTTATTGGTATGTCATTTAGAGATTTCATATTTATATTCATTTAGAGGCCAGCCCACAATTTCTCTTTCTTGTCTTTTGTAAAGGTTAAATCCGAAGTACAAAAATGAACTGAGTCATCTTTTTTTCTTTTTCAATTATCTGATGTCATTTTTATAAGGCTTATGTGATTCTTGAAAGGTCACTGGAACTTCCCATAAAGTCACCGAGGCCTTGCAGTGTAAATGGCATCCGTAAAGAGTGAGCTCTGGCAATCATAGGACCAAGATATGAAGCGGGAGTCTCAAGGGACAAATCAGGACCGCAGGGGTCAGAACTTGCTGTGTGACACACGCAGCCCTGGAGAGATGAGAAGATGGTAAGCCAGTCCGAAATATCAAATGGCCAGTTATGACGGGACACGGAAATGCTGTATCTCAGACTGTGCACAAGAGTGATCTTTTTGGTGGTTCAAAAAAAAAAATGGGGAGTATTTAAATCTGTAAGTAGAAGCTATCAAGAAAAATGTTTCTGACCTGACATAAGAAGGTATGACTTAAATAAGAAAAGAAAAGAAAAAGAAATGTAGATGACCGGCTAGATAATTTTCAGGGCTTTAAAATTTCAAACTTCTGGGTGATGGAAGGCATCATACAGGAAATGAAAAAGTGAACCTTGGGGTGAATAAGCGACATTATCTGCAAACCCCACACACCATAAAAGTTGGTATCCAGAATATTCAAAGAAGGCCTGAAGAAAACACCAGTGACTCCATTTTTTAAAAAGGGCAACAGAGGGCAGGAGGATGGCTCAGAGGGTAAGGGTGAGTACAGCCAAGCCTTCCTGGCACTCAGAAGCTGGAAGGACAAAACTGGCTCCCGAAAGTTGTCTTTTGACCTCCACATGTACACCATGGCAAGCACATGACCACACACATGTACTCAATAAGTTTTTAAAATTTTTCTGAGGTGATACAAATGAACAAACAATTTATAAAACAAGGCTTAAGAAGTCAGTCAATGCCAGAAAGGTGGTCAGCTTCACTAAGTAAGAAGACTGCATACCAAACATGCTCTCACTTCATCCAGTAGGATTAGCAATAATGGGCATTGTTTAAAGACGTAGGAGAATGGGAACTTGCTTGCATTGTTTGTGGGACCATAGATTAGTATACAGACATACACACACCACCACCACCACCACCACTTCAATGAATCCTGAAAATTAATCCAATGTAACCCTGTGTGTCCACCTTGAGGCCTACTTATCCATGAGCGAAGTTATTAAAATCACTAGCAGAGAACGGGTGGCTGAATCATTCTAGTGGTTACAAATTTTACTAGCCAATGGTTCATTTCAACCAAGTAAAAATGACCAGAAAATATGCACCGTGAGCCTTTGTGAAATATGCTTTGTATAACTTTTGTTTCAGGTTTGTGTTTACGTGTGTTAGATGAAAATATTAAATATTCTCTATGTGGTCCTTGGCTTTCACAAAAGCTACTCTAGAATTCAGATCAACAGACAGTTTTCCTTGAACAGCAAGGCAGAGAGTGCTTGAGGCTCCAGGACCATATGGACTGTAACTGCTCAACTCTGCTGGGATGGCAGGAAAACAGCCACAGCCACTCAACATGAGTGCAGGTGCTCTCTAATAAAGCTTTCTTTACAGAAGGCTGAAGGTATGCAACAGTTACCGACTCCTGTTCTAGAGGAGCCTTCTCGAGCAGAAATATAATGCGGACTATACACGTAATTTGAATTTTTCTAGCAGTTACATTTCAAAATATAAAAGATCAGTGCTACCAACTTTAGTATTGTATTTCAGTGTAACGAACCAAAGGACTGCCATTTCAACAGGGAATCACACTTTTTTCTTTTTCTTTTGACAAGATCTCATACAGCTCTTCTTGGCCTGGCACTTCCATATGGCCCACCCTGGCATCAGATTCTTGGCAATCCTCCTGCCTCAGTCTCCCCAGTGCTGAAATTACAAGCATGCAACCACCATACCCCGTTAATACAAAAAAAAATTTGTTGTTGTTTTTTGTTTGTTTGTTTGTTTTTTGAGACAGGGTTTCTCTGTGTAGCTTTGCGCCTTTCCTGGATCTCGCTCTGTAGACCAGGCCTGCCTCTGCCTCCTCAGTGCTGGGATTAAAGGCGTGCGCCACCACTGCCCGGCCAAGAAAAAT